ACTAATAAAAGTATTATCTGTCTATCTACCTACCTACCCTACCTACCAACCTATGTCATTTGTAGTTTAAGCTGTTTTAACTATGTAGGATTGTGTGCTGTTGTCAAATTGTTGTGATCCAATTTAGTAATAGTAAATAAGTTATTATTTATAGTTTTAAATAGTTGAAGCAATTGAGACTAATCCCCCAAATCATTAACTTCATATACTGAGAAAAATTACATACAGATTTTAATGCACTAATGGAATCTTACTGGACAACTGACATAAATTAAAAGAGGATTAACACCTTATCTTACTGCCACCTAACTTACAGTGGAATATATGACTATGAAGTAATATCAGAAATTTGAAAATATATATCAAAACTAAAATATTCAAATATGGATCACCCAGAAATTTTATGCCTTCATTTCAACTATTTTTGAAAACTGCAACCATTTTTACAATTTTAGGGAATTTCTCTTTAGAGTCATAAAACAAAATCATGATTTAAAAGTTGTATTTTATTATTCAGTCAACAAATATACAATGAACACCAAATATAAGTCAGAAATAATGTCGAGACCTGGGAATAGAGATTCTACTAAACACTTTGATCACTAACCTCTTCTTAAGTTTTAAATTTAACCAATGCTTGATTTTTTCTTCAGTATCACATCCTTCTCACCCCAAAGATGAATACTGAAGGTTATTCAAAGGACATGATAGAGAGATGGTACTAATTTCTTATGCACTTAAGGCTAACATATCTTCAGGTTTCTGGACATATCAGAAATAAGAAAAATAATAAAAATGGTTACTATGATTTGGTAGAGAATGTGCTGGTTACTTTACATAAATATTAACCAAAATAATAAGAAACGATTATCACTACAAACCAGGAAGACCTGGGAAACTGTTCGTTAATGCAGTAGAATTTAACCCAATCTGACTAATGCATCCTGTGAATTACAAACATTCCCATTCATTAAAATAATCTTTTACAGGTTGAGCATGGAGGCTCGGGAGGTGGGAAGGGATCACTTAAGATCAGGAGTTCAAGACCAGCCTAAACAATACAGTGAGACCCTGCCTCTGTAAAAAGAAAAATTTAAAAATTAGTGAGGCACGGTGATGCCTGCTTATGGTCCCAGCTATTTGGCAGGCTGAAGCAAGGGAATTGCTTGAGTCTAGTTGTAGGCTGAGGGAACTGGGTTCATACCACTGCACTCCAGCCCGGGCAACACAGTGAGGCCTTGTGTCCAAAAAAGAAAAAAATAAATAGCCAAAAAAAAAGAAAAAAAAGAAAAATCATCTTTCATAGATGTGGAAAATATAGAAGCTACTTAGAATTAAAGATGATTAGTCTGTTATAAACATCAAAATTATACATGATGCTAAATATAATGCTAAAAAAGCAGGATATTTTACCAGGAAGGATTTTTATTTCCTGTTTCAATGTCATTTAGTCAGCAATTATATTGATGTCTTCCAATAATTGTCCATGGAGATCACAGGGGGGCATAACCAACGTAATACAATAGCAGATAAAGGCAGAGGTTTGGGATCAGACCACTGGTTTGGATCCCAGGCCCCTGCTTAGAGGCTGGACGGGCAAGTTCTTGAACACCTCTGTGCCTCGGTTTGGTCATATGTCAAGTGATGCCAACAGCATTGAGACAATCCTGAGGGATGAGGTAAAATGACAAGGAAAATCCTCAATACGGCAAATGAAAAATGAGACTTTACACCTCAAAGTGTGTAATTTTTTAAGCTTATCTATAGGTACATGAAAAATACTGTGGGGGACGCCCAACTTATAGCTGGATTGTCAGAAGTATGGGTGGCCTGGACCTGTAATTGTCGTTTGAGGGGAGACAGCCTCGTAAAACTGAGCTCTTTAACTTGTGGGAGCTCCAGGCACATCGTTTCAGAACTAGATGAACTGCTGGACTTCTAGTTGGTTTGAGAAGTACTGTAAGTATAAAAAGCTCAAGTTCTCACAAGATTACATACTTTTTACATACTCTAAACTTAAAGGTTTTAAGCTATGGGAGTGAGTGATCAAACAGTACAGACAATACACAAATGAATGAATGGAGGTCTACAGTTTTTTAATCCAACAGCTTTAAGTCACGTGGGACAAACATCTGGATTCTAAAAGTCCAGAAGTTTTTAGATTTTTAAAAGGCAGTATGGTGCTGTTCTGAAGGTTTTGTAATCAAACGATTAAAAATTTCCAAAGTAAAAGGTATCAGTGTTCACACTGAATGGAATAAAAATAGACTCCAATAGCCTCACATCAAATTTGATCCGTTTTTATCTCCAAGTTTAAACCACAGCAGGTATTGCTAACAAATGAAGTATAATAAACTTTAAGTTTTCAGAATTTTAGATTTTACAAAGTGGATAAAGGATTGTGGCTTATGTGTGATATGGAAGATGAGTTAAGTGATGTCAAAACAAGTGTGAGACAGGAAGCACGCACGTGTGTGTGTGAGAGAGAGAGAGAGAGAGCGAGAACACGGGAGGGGCTCTATGCTAAGGTCACATTTAAGAAGAGACCCAAGGGGGTGAATCACAAGACACCCGGCTACAGAGTGTTACGATGGGAGAGAGCCCCTGCGGACACTGCACTGTGGGGGAGTGCGGCAGGTCTGTCTGAGAGGGCACAACCAAAGGCAGCTGTATGAGATGACGGCAAACTGGTGACGGTAAAGTAGGGGTTCGCATAGGGCCCCAAAGACAGACCACTGTATAGACTTTGGAATTTTCTGAATCAGAAAACCACTGGAGTGTTTTGAGCAGAGGAGCAACATGCTGCAACAAATTGTAAAAGGATTTCTTTAAAAGAAATCTGTTGAGGCTGGAAGGGTCAAGGTTGAAGCAGAGAGATGAGTTGAAAGCCACTGAAAAAATATCTAGGGGAGAAATGGTGGTGGCTGACAGTGGTTGCAGAGAGAGGAGATGAAATTCTGGGTATATTCTGCAGGTAGTACAGACAGGATCTGCTGATGGATTGAGTTGTAAGATGGCCGAGCAAGAAAAGAGCCAAAGATGATACAAAGGTTTGTGACCTAAGCAATTAAAAGATTAAGAGTTCTCAGTTGCTGAGATGGGGAGAGGGAGGAAATTTGAGAATGGTCACAGTTGAGACACAGAGCTTGGGTTTCGACATGTTAAGACTGAGACACAGTCACCTCCTATTACAGAAATGTGTTGTTTACCACCATAATCATTAGCCTTGTTTAAATTTTAATTAAAATTAAAAATTCATTGCGTCAGTTACACTAGCCACCTTTCAAGTACTCCATAGTTTCATGTGGCCAGTAACTCTCATACTGGATAGCACAGATACAGAATAACCTTGCAGAAAGTTCTACTGGATAGCGCGGTCCTAGAAACTAAGTTGTATTCAGTACCTACTTTAGGTAGAGCAAGGTTGTAAGAAAGATAAGCAAGAGCCCTACTCAGAAAAGGCTTCCAGAGAAGAGAAACGTTAAATATTAAAACTAAAGGTCACTTTAAAATGTGTGTGTTTGAACACTGATTTTGTTGGGGCAAACTATATGAAACAGCTTTTTTGAAAGGGTCTCCATGAAATGCTTGCTGTGGCCCTAGCTGAAGGAGATATGAGAAAAGGATCGCAAGATGAGGGAACAGAGAAAAATTATAAATCATTGACCCTTTAAATGACAGCAAGTATCAGAATATTGTGGATCAGAAACCCTTTCCCTCAAGCTCCTTGATTTCCTCCTCCTCCTCTTTCTCTCTCTCATTTTTTCTTAGCTGGACTTTATTTCTGTGTTAAGCTCTAACTACCTGGGGGCAGAAATATATCCTCTTTCATAGTTTTGGTGTGAAATGTTGTAAATGCAAATGTGTTTTCTCTCCACTATAAATTGAGACAGATGATTGGTCAAGGGCTTTGTGTTTCACTTACAGATTTAAGAAGAGGGTTCACCTCTGAAATAATGGCATTTCTGGGATAGTTAACAGGAGAAACAAAGTAGAATATTTAAATTGGGAATGTTTCAGCAAGTCTAGGATGTACAGTGACCAAACACGTAGTATGTTCTTGCTGGGCAGTTTAAACACTTCATAATAAAATGTTTTAATCATGGTTTCACTTGTAATTATTTTGTCATATCTGAGAATGCATTCTACATCCATCCTTTAAATATAATCTTCCACAGGATTAGATATATTCCACACCTTTGATTAGACTGTGTTCTGTTTTTAGCTCTTTTCTAATTTGCTTTGATTGGTTAGTAGCACTCAGAAAACGTCAGCTGTCACATATACTGGTAGATTGCCAACTTACTTGCAAGTTTTCACTGTAAATCATTCCGACAGTTTCTATGGTTTCCTCAGGTGACGGGCATACTTATAACCCTGACTCAAGCATTACAAAAGCAATCCACGTAGCCAAAAACATTTGTATCCCCCCCTAATATTTTGAAATTTTAAAAAAAATGCAAAATAATTTTAACTATCCAGAACAACTCAATAACCTCTAATCAAGAATCTGTGTGTGTGTGTGTGTGTGTGTGTGTGTGTGTGGTGCCCCCATGAGACAAACATGGACATAAACCCAAGAAACCAGTCTATGAGTTGTTTCACTCTAAATTCTTTATAAATTGCTGTGGTATTACTTAGTCCACATTCTACGAATAGTATAGCTGTTGGTAGAATAGGTTGTGTTAAGCCATGGAAATTCAGGAACTTTTTTTAAAGCAGCAATTTTCTTTAATTAATCAACCCTCACAACAGAAACAAGAAGATCCACAGCTCTTAGCTATTTTCCAGTTAAGTCACCTCTTAGATAAATTCTGAATTCAATGAAATATTTATGATACAGAAAAAGAGATGTTTAGCCAAGTTTGGAGGAATATCATAAAACATCTGTATTCAAGTTGTCAACTTTTCAAAAACGTCTTAGCCTGAGTTATTGAGCAAAAATGGGAAGGCAGAGTCATTTACAACTTCTTTTTCATTTATTCACAAATAAGTGCATTCTTTAGTCCAAATGGATAAACATACACCTGGTACAGCTGGACATTTTGTTTTTAGCACTGCCCATGGCATAATTCCAAAATATAACAAAGGAATCTAGGTTTGACAATTGAGCATCTTAGTCTCCACTAAGGAAAAAAAGCAAATAAATTGCATGAAGCTCTTAAAAGGGGCAATTGTGAGTTGGTAGAAATGAATAGGAAATAAAATTAAATGCCTTAATCTTCTCTTCTTTAGTTACTAAACTTACGTCTACAAAATACAATATTAGTCCCAAATGCAAGACAATTTTATTGGATATAAAAGCTTAGGATTTTCAGCACTGCTGCAACAGATTAGTGTGAGGTGATGTTTAGCAGCGGTTCTCAATCTGTGGGTTGTGACCCCTTTTTAACAATGAAAATACATTGCAGCATTAGGAAGGTTGAGAACCATTGGTTTAAGGAAAAATAAAAAGATGTCAGTATTACAAGAAAACTTCTATCTTTGTACACGGCATCGTCAACTTCCAATAGGGTCTCTGTCACAACATGGATGACACTACCATCTCTACCAAATGCTAAAGCGCCTTGGCGACATTATGACTCTTCTGGTATAAATTAGCAAGGCAAAACTTTTGATGAGGAACTCAAGAGACAAAAGCACTGAGCACCTGGCATGGTGCCGACCACATAATTTCCTCTTAATACATTTTTCCCAAATGACAAATTTAAGATCAAACCCAAATTTTAATATACATTTTACCGGTGCAGGAATTTATGCCCTCATCCTGTTCCAAAAGGACTAAAGGAGCTAATAAGCATGTATAAATTATGATAAATATCGGCTTAAAATTAATTAGAAGAAAAGGCAAAACAGGGTAGGAAAGTTAGATGGAGCCAGGAAATGTGCCTCATCTTTACTGTATAATAAGATTTAAAAGTAAACATTGTCTTCCTAATGAAGAACAATGTTATTTACTTTGCTGTATTTTCTAAAAGAATTCAGAAATAAACGATAAGTAGGATTTTTCCTGATGAGGGATTCTAAACTAAGAGTCTAAATTTTGGCTTAAGAAAACACCTTTAGTTCCAGAAATCACCGTTTAATCTAAACAACGGGAGAGGAGAAGGCAGTGCAGATTCAAGGTTAGTGACGTGGGGGGCGTCAGAGAGCAGCATCACTGGAGATTTACCTAAATACAGGCAAACAGTAGACTAAGTGAGAGCGTGCCTGTGTGGCTTATCATGGAACCAGACAGACAGCATCCACTAGAGACCCCTATCCCGTGCCAACACATACCATGTACCCAACAGAAAAGTGACATATTGTGCTTGTATCTCAGACCCCCACAAGGCACACTTACCTATCGCTTGAGCTAAGGCTATTACAACCTCCTGGCAAGTTGTGACTTCGGTGACCCCACAAACAATCCTCTGAACTCCATCCACCCATACTTTAAGTTCCATGGTGCACCGGCCAGTCACACAAGGGCCCTGAGAGTGGTCATCAGGGTGTCAGGTCATGTCTCTGGCTGCAGGAACACGGAGAAGGCAGAGTCTGCGTGGTCAGCTTAAAAGAGGGAAAGAATCCTTTTTAATAAAATATAAAATAGATCTTGACATTGCTTCTAGTAAGTGCGTAAGCATTCCATAAAATGAACTTTAATGTAATCCTACTATTGGTAAGTCTGCATGCTTACTTATTTCACAGAAATGAACTCAGCAGCACAAAAGCACCTGCCGTCACCTATAATGACATCGGTTCATGTTATTAGTTTTATAATAACTTAATCATTAGGTCATGCTCATTGGGTTAAAAATTCTTTTTTACTTGACATGTTGCTCAATACATGGGCTTTCTTTTTTTGAATTCTGTTGTTAGGAGCATTTCCAAGGTTAAAAAAGGTTTTCTGTCATTTTAGGAATCATAAATAATTTTGCCAATTTCCATCACTTTGCCAGTATTGTTAACAATTTCTAAAAACAGCTGTCAAGGTGTCTAACTCAATTTGTATTCCTTTGCTTAATATGTCCCTTGCCTCCCTCTCTCCCCTAGAGGACCCAGCCTGACTTCCTCACCACTGAAATACCAGCCCTGAGCTCAGCATGAGGACAGGTGTGTACAAAATCTTAGGTGAAGGAAAGGAATTCCTCTGGTGGCCAACAATTTCTCCATGTATGAACTTCTTGTCTTTTCCTCATTTAAAATGAGTTTGATGGTTTTCTTAAATTTTAAGAGTTATGCATATAATATAAATCTTCCTTTTCTTATACTCATTGTATGTACCCAGTGTTTGATTTTGTATTTGGGTGTCTTATATGACAAGCAGAAAATTTTACATTCTCCTATAAAGTCAACCCAAACACCCTGGTCTCGTCTATTGATTTGAACGGCATTAACCTGCTAAAAATCAATTACATACAAATTTTTTTTCCCTGAGATTTAAAAATCTCAACTCTTTCTGTGTTAAATCTCTAATCAATCTATGATTTATTTTGTTTACCCATTGTTTTTTGGTCTTCTATTTCTTGTTTTCACAAAAGAATGTGAAAATTTATGAGATGTAATAAACATTGATTTAATCAAGGAAACACTTGCATTTGTTTAAAGGATTATAATGTACTAGTGTTTCAGGATTTATGACTTACTAAAAAACTTATTTAAAAAACACTGAAACTTTTTCTTATAAAATAGTATTTACTACAAACAGTAGCTTGGTCCCTTGTTATATTCTCTTAAGAGACCTAAGACAGTGCTAGGCCACCTGGTCACCCGGGTAGGTGAGTCAGAACACACGCAGGGTGAAGAAGAAACCTAATTCCTTTCTCCAGAGAAGGTATAAAATTCCATCTTATCCTGAAAACAAGAAAGGACTGCCTGAACATTCATTTCCCAGCCTGCAGCTTAGCACTCTCAGCCTGCGACACAGGTTAAGGTTTCATAACCCCACTATATAACCAGAGAATGGGCCATCTTGTCAATGACAGGCTGAGTCCCCTGTGTTCCTCTGTTACGAGAGCCCGAGAGGGGTTAACCCTCCTGGAGGAAAAAGGGTTGCCTGGAAGAAGTCAAAGAAATTAAGAAATTTAGTAAATAAAATTAAATAAGTTCCTTTACAAGCTAGACTTCAATCAATCTAGAGAACATCTAAGGAAACAGAAGCGTTCTGAATTAAAAGACTTCTTTTCTATTAAGAAGTCCATTTATTAAAATTGGAATATGTTTTATTCTTTCTTGGGATAAAATTAAAGTATCAAAAAATGGTAAAACACCAATATAACTACTTTATTAAAATTATTAATGATGAATTAAAGTCCATTTAATATCTAGTCCCTTATTTTTCACTAAAAAAAAAAAATGCAGACCCCATCAAAAATCTTCTTCCTCAAAGAAATCTGTCATTTAAAAGAAGCCCAAGACTCATTTTCTTCCTTAATTTGGAAGAATATTTATCATGAGATCTGTCCTTTTAACACTTTTCTAAGATGGGAGTGTCTCTGGCGACTTCTGTCTATGAATTTGATAGCTTTAGATACATTATATAAGCTCTATATTTCCTTTTTGGCTTTAGTATGCTAACGTATACTACCACTTCTATTAAGTGAATAGAAATGAACATAGGACATAAAAATCTGTTAAATATTATAGAATACAGTAATCTTACAGAAAAACACTGAGCATAAATAATATTGCTTAATAATATTACTATGTAATATAACCTTGCAGAGTATTCATCTTCTTGATGGGAGACTTCCTACCATGGCTTATCACACAGAGAGGACTGTGCCTGCATTTCTGTTTTAACACCACACACAAAATCTTTCAGAGTTGAAACCTTAAGGAGGAAGGCAGGAAATGCCTTGATGGATCAGATCAATGGACCACGCTTCCTCAGCTTTTATCTCTAGGAGGACCCCTGTTTTCAGGAGAACATGGCTTCCATCAGGTCTGGAGCTATTCTCTAGCACCCCTACGAGTCACGGCAGCATTCATCAGAGTCATCTGAAGAACCTGCCCTAGAGACAAGAACCTGCCCTCTAGGAGCTGCAACCTTCATCTTTCCTCCCTGCCCTCCAGACTCCAACTGCCACAGCTCTACCTCCAGCCTCGGAACTAGACTAAAAGTAAAAATGGGAGTCCTACACTGTAGGTAGGTGTGGTGGATCAGTCATCTTTGGAAGTGAAGGCCTGGGCAGCAAATGGACTCCAGCATTCCAGTTGGAATTTGGAATAAACTACTCCCATGGAAACAGTGAGGTAGGTAGGAGGTTCTACTGCAGGAGTATCAATATAGTTCAGTTATTGTTTTCATTATGACATGTCTAGATTTGAGTTATGTTGCCCTCGGTAGAGTGCTGTGGCGTCACAGCTCACAGCAACTTCAAACTCTTAGGCTTGGGCAATTCTCTTGCCTCAGCCTCCCAAAGTAGCTGGGACTACAGGCGCCCATCCACAGAGCGAGCTATTTTTTTGTTGTAGTTGATTAGCTGGCCCAGGCCGGGTTCAAACCCGCCACCCTTAGTGTATGTGGTGGGCGTCGTAACCACTGTGCTACAGGCGTGAGCCTATTTTTATAACTTCTATAATGAACTAGGTTTATTCAATAACATTCCAGCAGGGCACAAGCCTACTTTAGTACGTATCACTGACTGTCATCAAAGCTTATGGAATTAAGGATCTGGATCTGCAGAAGAAACAAATTTCCCTCAAGATCAATGCTTTAATAAAGTAATTATAGTCAATCCTCATGTGTAGATTCCATATTTTGAATCAGCCTACTTGCTAAAAATCTACTTGTAATTCCAAAAGTTAATGCCTGTGGTGCTTTTCACAGTAATCTGCACATATGTACATAATCATTATAAAAGTTCCAAGATACACAAAAATCAAGAAATGTAAAATCCACGCAGATGGAAACAAGTGAAGCCTGCCCAGTGACAACAGTAAGCCGGGCCAGTGGGAAGTTGCACGAGTGCATCATTAAGGATGCTGCTGCCTGTTTCTTGGAAGTGAAGTAATGGATAACAACGCAGTCTGTTTCAAAACTTTCCTAGTTACCTACGTATGAGAGTACTGAAAGACCTGAGCCTCCGGACACACATGTTCCCAGCTGAGATCAAACAAGGTGACACTCTGCCTTTTGGTTTCAGCTCTCAGACTGTCAGTACGTGCTCATTTCTCAGTCTTGTGAAGTGCCACTTTTGGGGTGCTTTTTGTTGGCGATTTCACAGTTGAAACAGTTCCTAAGCACAATGCCAAAGTGCCTGTTTAGTGTTTCTGAGGCAGGAAGGCTGAGATGTGACTTAAGGAGAAAAATGTCAGGTAAGCTTTGTTTAGGCACAAGTCAGAGGGCTGTTGGCCTTAAGTTCAATGTTAATGAGTCAGCAATGTATATTAAATAAGATGTTCACTAAACAGAAAAAAAAAAAAGAAACATAAAACAAGGTTATGTACTGATCGGTTAACAAAAATCTCATTACCAGGGCTTGGAGAAGGCTAGTCTTGTATTTCCCCTAGGAATGATGGCTTAGTATTCAGTAATTTAGTGTTTGTGTTGCCCTTATAGGACATCAATATTGTGAATAATGACAAATTACTGTCTATTTTTAGAAGGTATAACTTCCCTGTGTTCAAGCTGCTGAGAAAATCCCATTATTTCCTGGACATCAAAAGCAAGCACACAGGTGGCCTGAAGCCAATTTTAACACTTCCTTCATTGCTTATTTTATTTAAGTCCTGCGGTTGTTGTATACCAGAGCATTCTTTTTGAAAGTACTATATGGAGATGTTGGGTTATAATAAAATCTTCACCATCAGGTTAGCAATTTTAATTAAATCAAGCCCTGATGCCACCAGCTCTCTGCATCACAGAGAAAGGGATTCAGCACGATGAACACAGCACTTAATAGAGCGATTAAGACTCAGACACTAAAATTCTCCTGTCTAGAAAATCGGTCAAAAAACTAAACCGAGTCTAGTTTACCTCATTCTAAAACTAATTTGCGGTGGGAATTAAATGAAGTTACACAGAACATCAGTTATCAACCAAAAAAGTATTAACTGGATCACGGAGGGAAAACGAAAAGCAGCCCTGGGTGTCGGGCGCTTGTGGAGATGGGAAAGGAACCGAAAGGAAAAACAACCTGGGGAACAGGGTGGGAGGAGCAGCACAACGTGAGGAGAGAGAAGGAAATAATAAGGACAAAAATGATGAGGCGGGCAGGCAGAAGACAGAACACGGTAGACACGGGGGCAGTTTTCGGGAGACGGCCTCAGCTGACAGTCCCACGCTCCCTGCCCCTGAACCGCAGCGTTCAGGCAATGCATGTTTCTGACACTCTGCTTCCATACGGTGGAAACCTGGTTACATACAAATTGTTTTTTAAAAAAACTCATTATTTTGCTACAATGCAGTTCTGTAAATGGTGTCACAAAGAGTGGGGTGTTATCTGAAAACTATGATGTTAAAACTGGATGCCAAGGAAGAGGACCTTAGCAATGTAAATTAAGTGCCTCCCCAAATGAGTTCTTAAGAAGAGAAGCCCTGAGAGCTGCACCCAGGGAAAGTA